GTGTATGGAAAGATATTGCTTTAGCCTTACATAGCAACTGACTTAAGAAAATATTCTGTAATTTAATAGTAAACTAGGTGAGAATGGATTAAAAGTAATAAATCTGAGATCGTATGTTTTCCAATTTGTTAAGCAGTCTTCACCATACTTGTGTTTCCTACTTGTGGGCAGTAAGTGATAAAATGGGGTTGAGTCAGATCTATAAAATAGGTGTTCACTCACCTAGAAACCATTTGGAATAGTCTAGGCATCCACTTAGTAATGTCCTATAAGGTTTAAGAAATAAAAATTAATAAGTAATATATAAAAATATCCCATTGAACGCATGCTTGAACAAGAAAAAAAAACAGAAAGAAAATAGTTGCCTTAGTTCACTTACAATTTTTAATATCCAAATTTGAAAAAAATTGTAGAGAAAACTGTGAACCTGGAATACTGCTAGTACTGTTATGTTTCTTTCTTGTATTTGCATCAAGTGTCTAAGAATGTTAGTGCTGTCCAAGGCTTAATCCTAAAATGCCTACTCTTTTACAATTGATACTTTCATATTTACAATGTTTTCTTTTTCATTTTTGACATATCTCTTAAAATGTCTACTCTTTTACAATTTATACTTTCATATTTGCAATGTTTTCTTTTTCATTTTTGACATATCTCAGGAAGGAGAAATTTTTCTGGTGCTGATTAGTATGTGTTAAATTATGTCAATGAAAATCAAACCCTCTTACTAGACAACTGCCTCTCCCTTCTCTCTCTGGGTGCTGGAGCAGAACAGTGCTGAGGAGTCATTATTTAAATTATGTATAAATCAAGAGAACTAGTTCATTCCTACCTTGGGCAGTGCTGGCACATAACCCAAGGGCCAGTTGATAGCACAGCAGTTAAGTCCTATGCATAGAAGGTTTTATCCTACATGGCCAATTGTGGTTTGAATCCTGGTCCCAGTGACTTGAAAAACAATGGTAGGTACATGCATATTCATGTCCAAAACCCTAATGAGATGGGAAAATAGAGGAGGAGAAAATAAAGCATGACCAAGCCCCACTGGGGGATTCTCTTATTCTCTTGCACACACACACACACACACACACACACACACACACACAGAGGCAGTTAAAAAGCACAAAAAATCTCTTAAAATTTAATATAGTATGGAGTGGGCCCCATTACCTAGTGGTTCAGAAAGTTTGATTCCACATGGCTGAACTATATTGATTCAAATCCCAGCCCACATAGCCTAGAAAACAAACCAGGTGAGGGTGCATATATAACCCAAATCCTGGCTGGATGGAGAAATGAAAACGTGATTGCAGTAAGACCATGGTGGGTGTTTTCTTCCTCACTCTCTGCCTGTCTTTCTCTCTCTAGATAACACACATGTCCCCTGGCAATTAAAAAAATAATTTAAATAGTGTCTTAATTTCTACAGTATAACTGTTGACTATGTATTATTCACCATGGACTCCTTTGGTGGCTAGATGGGTCCTGTCCAATTGCTGCCATCTTGTTTTTGCAAAGCTTAAATTTGTTTTTTATATTTGAAAATGATCCTTTAAAATCTGGACAATGCTCTCATTTTTCACATGAAAAAAATTAAGTCCTAGACAGATTATGAGTTACCTAAAAGCACAGAGTTAATTATTAGCAACAGAAGCAACGATGGAAATATATTTCCTGACTCCCATTATTATACAACAGTCTTGTATTTTTTTGAGATCTTTCATAAATTCAGTAAAGTGTGATTAATTTAATTTAACTAACTAATTTTTTAAGCATGAGACTGTGGGAAACTATAAAGAAAAAGTCAGAGCAAGTCAAAACCAATTTCAGAATCAATGTTTTTTAAGACGTTTGTACTGCAAATGTGAGTGTACTGCTCTAAATGGCGTTCAAAGACCTAGATTCAAGCCAAAAATCTTGTTTTTCTCCCAAAACAAAATTCCAGGTTTTAGTGAATGAATTTTAAAAAAAGAAAAAGGAATTCTTGCTTAACTCTATAAATCTACATTTGTTTTATAGAGCTACACTTTTGAAGTTAAAGCTAGCAAAGTTTTGAGATAACTGTCTTTCAACCTCATTTAAACAAAAAAGCAAACAAGTAAGGGTTTTGACTAAAATGGCACATTTTTAAAAAGTCTCTAGGGACCAGCAGATAGCATAATGGTTACATCATTGGACTCCCTCATATTTGACCATGGTTCAAGTCCCAGACCAGGTGACTTGAGACTCATGCCAGGCACATGTGTGCACATGTCCAAGATCATGTGGGAAGAATGGAGGAGAAGGGATTGCGGTGTGGCCACGTCCTCTGGAAGGTGATTTCTTGCTTTCTGTTTCTCTGTTTCTCTCTGTCTCTCCAGCAAACGCATGCACCCTATGGCAAAAAAACGCTTAAAAAAAAAAAAAGTCCCTAATGAAAAGAATTAACTACATTCTTTAATAGTCTATGAACTGTTACAGACCTGATGAACAGAACGTAAAATGTATTTGATTCCAAATGGGTTGCTTTATGTATTTTCAATGCTAGCCAGGTAAAAGAGAAAGCATAATTTTACATACACCCTAAAAACTACATATAAAATTCATTTGCTTTTCTTATTATAAGAACAGAAAAGTCTGCTCATTGATTTATAAGGTATTTATATTTAAATAAAATAATATGGGTAAGCTAAGTTTGAAAGTAGCATAGAATAAGTCTACCTTTAATTATACTTTAATTTTGGGGATTGGTTAAGAAGTGACTTTTTTCCTTCTCATGGTACCAACTCAATTAATCATCTACTAACACTTATATGAGACATATTTTCTTTGCCTTTGGCCCAATCTGTAATTTCCTACTGAACAGACCACCTCTGTGTAAGATTAATGTTTAGTAATTTTTAGCTCTTATTTCGTTTATAAGACTGTCAAGTCATTCCAACTTTGAGATTTTTTTTTTTAATTCACAGATTCAACCAATGTACTGTCTTGATGTAACAAAGTACCATAGACTAGGTAGCTCATAAACAACATAAATTTATATCTTACAGTTCTAGAGACTGAAATTATAGACCGTGGTGCCAGCATGGTCAAATTCTTTCTCCCTGTTGCAGACTGCCAACTTTTCAATGTATCGTCACTTGGCAGATGGAGGGCCAGAGGGTTTCTGGGGTCTCTTTAATGAGAGCACTAACACCATTCGTGAGGACTCTACAGTCATGACTTCATTACCTCTGAAAGACCCCCACCTTCTACTACCAGTAGGCGTTACAATTGGGATTAGGGTTTCAACATATGAATTATGAGGTCATACATTTAGTCCATAGCAAGTAACACTATTCCACACATTGGTGATCTTTGTGTTTAAAGCCTCCATTGTTAAGATATGGTTTTTCTAGCTGGCCTACTTTCTTTTAAGGTTATGGTAACAGTGTTGTAGTAAGGAAATCTCTCCAGAGTTGAACATTTAGAAGAGACCATAGTCTCATTATTCGCTAAATACTTCTAGTCTTCTCTAGATAGATTTTGCCATAGTTGTCCTACTATAATTAGTAAAATATACTTTAAAATTTTTTTCATAATGTTCTTTAAGTGTTATTCTGTTGTGAACTGCTTCCTGATGCCAATCCAAGTCAGAATAACTTTCTAGTTTTCATAATGATAGGCCCATAGATGAAGATTTCAGTAGATAATATTAACTCTTCTAAAATAAAGCATAAGAGACTGGTCACCCCAAAACAGAACTTATTTGTGATAATATGTGAATCTCTGTTTTGTAAGTTGAATGTTTGAAACAAGACACTCTCATACATGGATAGTAAATTAAAAATGAAACTTTATATTTTTTTACGACAGAATTTAACATCTGTCCTCAATGCCCATCCTACATGTTAGTGGAAAGGGTAGAAATCAAATCAATTGACTGCCTTTAATTCCATCCACACAGACATTCTGCATTTCATTCACATTTTTCCCATTCACACTGTTCTTAAGTTTGCAGTTACATCCAGGATGAGTGAGTTTAGTCTTCAGTTATTATCTGTTCACACCTGCATTCACTGAACCGTCCATCATCCCCTTTAGCCCCCAGGTGCCATCATCTTTCCATGTGGCATTTACCTTGGTTCTTTATGTTGTTATGTAAGCTGTTAGGTAAACTGTTATGTAAGCTGTTTTCTCATCCAGGTACAAGGTCTCCTCAGCTAGGGGCCTCAGAGCAAATGCTTCTATTCCTGACCACTTGGAAATAGCATTATGCTGCCCCACCACCACCCCCCATCCCCCCCACCCCTGTACCATACTGAGTGTTTTAGGGCTTCAGAGGGATTTTCTTAAGCACACTGTTTTAGATGTATTATTCAGAATTTTCTGCTTTAATGGTGACACTTAGTGTCTTTTTGTGGACTTCTTTAATCTTTAGTCTCCCTAGATATCATCTCTCTGTCCAGCTCCCCAAACCTGAGAGTATTATCTTCAACTGCTATAGGGCTTGAGGGCAGGATGGGGAAAAGGGCTCATCTTGGAGATCTCTGTCAGTGTCTGGGTCTTGCTTCTTTTCTGCTTTTCCTCTTCCCAATCCCCAACTTAAAGATCTTTATACCCCTTTATTTAAGAAAAATTCTCTCTGACATTACATTATGTTCTTTTAAATTTGTTCTTTATGGCATAAATGCTATAACTTGAGTCCTTTATAACCTTGATTTTTGATACTCACAGACTTTTTTTTTTTAATGCCAAAAAGCGAGAGAGAAAACACTCCCCCCACCACACCTCAATGGGGCCTTGTCATACTTCAGTCTCCTTTCCTCCATGCCTCCTTCCCATCAGGATCCTGGGCACATGCACGCTTCAGTCTCCTTTCCTCCATTCCTCCTTCCCATCAGGATCCTGGGCACATGCACACACATGCCAGGCATGTTTTCCAAGCCAACCAAGGTCAGTCATGTGGGATCTGGCTCCCTCCACAGTGCTTACCACTTAACTACGCTACTGGACCAGCCCTCAAAGACAGACTTTTAGTATTCAACATCTGGCTTTTATATTTATCTTATTTTGATTTTGAAACTGAAAGTATATTTTTCTTGACCTGTTACTCCCACTATAGTTTCACTGGATTATCTTGAAATTCCTATGCCAAAGAAAAGTCTATATTGAAAATGAAAACTTGGTGCCAGTACATGGTGTAGTGATTACGTCATTGAACTCCCACATGGCCGACTGCAGTTTGAGTTCCGGACCCAGTGGCTTGGAAACCACACCAGGCACATGTGCATGCATGCCCAAGATCCCAGGAGGAGAATAGAGGAGAAGGGATTTGGGGGCGGCCATCCCCCCTTGGGGGTGATTTCTCACTTTTTCTCTCACTGTTTCTGTCTCTCTCTCTCTCTCTGATGAGTGCATGCACTTGAAGGCCAAAAAAAGAAAAATCTCCTAAAAACAAAAAGGAAAAAGGAAAACTCTAAAACAGATCTGTCTCCTTGTAGAAGAAAGAAATCCCATGAAGAAAAGAACATTAGTTAACATATTTGTATATTGTCACAATTCATATACTTTTTTTATCTTGTACAAAAAAATACTTTTTCTCTCTAACAACATACATAATACCTTTTTTAAAATATTTAAGTCATTTTTAGAAGATGCAATATCTTTTGGAGGTTTTTTTGTCATTGGTAAATTGAATTTTTGGCACAATTTGTCTTCAGATTTGAATAACTTAACATCCTATTGTGATGAAATTATGCTGTTTGTGAGAACTTTTGATGATTTCTGAGAAATGTGCCTGGCAATGATAATAGAATTCTTTTTCTTATTTGTGAACTGGGTCACTCTTTTTTCACATTTTTCTTCTTCAAATAATTTTAGGATATCATCAGAACAATGGCATGATTTGCAAAGGCAAAGTTCCTAACTATCCTGGCAGACCAGTTACTGCTGAATCAATTATGATTTGAAACATCTCACACATGGTAAAACAAACAGTTCCATGGGAAATAAACATCCTTTCCTTGATTTGCAAATATGCTCTTCTCTGTTCTTCCAGAGAAGAGCACTTTAGGCTGTGGGTTCATGTCTCACATTGTCTGGGCTTTGCCAGCAAGAACTTCTGCCTTTGCATTTCTAGCACCAAGCAGATTCCCCAAGACATGATGCTCGGTAAAATTTAACTGAATTATTTAGCCACTTTCAAGAGGAGACAAAAGGTCTATCTGATAATGGACATTTTTAGTTCTACCTAAAAGGGGACATTTATTAAAATAATCTATTCCATTTCCTTTAAGAACTATGATTTAAGTTCTTAAATCATAAAATTTGGTGCTAGAAGGAATTTCATAGATGATCCACTCAAAATCTCTGATTTTTCAGGAGAAACAAGTGATGCCCAAGGAAGTTAAGGGGCAATCCCAATAGTCTACTCCCTCTCTCATCTAGAGCTCAGTGTTCTTTTCGATGGCTTCGGTTTAAGTGAGTTTATTATAGTACATTGATAATTGTGCCTCCCATTTCTAGGGCCCTCAAGGGAAAAAAGGAGCTCCTGGTCCTTCTGGGAAACCTGGGATTCCTGTAAGTAACAGGTCACTTTTATCTTTCTTGTTTTTCTAAATAAAATTGACAACTTTAGCAAACAGAAAAGTTTGGGGCCAATTATGTCATGTTGGGTAAATTAGATTGTCTTAAAAAAATTTAATCCATGCTGGAATACAGAGGGAACAAAATATGACCATTTACTCAAACCCAAACTTGCTGTTTAAATAAAAGTCCCTGCAATTGCAGGATGCAATTTTTCTGCATAATGGAGCCATCTTTAGACTCATACATCTCTCTGATCATAAACTCCTAGAAAATTGGGAACTTGGAGTAATGACTAAAAGGATAGTAACAAAGGACAGAGATCTCAAGCATAATTAGAAAGACATGAGGTGGATTTTAATTGGAGAACTCAGCCTCTTATTCTCCTGAGAAATAGAATAGAAAATCTTAGAAAAAATTTAAATGAAGATTAGTTTTACCTTAGCTATCAGTTTCCTCGTTGGCCAGGCGAGTATGTGTTGACAAGCTGTCAGCTATAAGCAAAGTTTCCTCTAGCCAAGTTTTAGATACCTGCTTTGGGTGGCCTGTGTTGGTTCAAAAAGAGTAGAGAAAACGAACATAAATTTTAAGCACAATAAAATCAAAGATTCCCTACAGATAAACTCCAGTTGCCCAAGAGTAGAAACAAAATGTTCAAAGCTTTCTTTGGTCATATAATTAACTGATTCAAAGTAGCAGCAAAAGAGCCATAATTTACTTCTTGGAAATATAGCACGACACAAGGTTTTGCCAATGGTGGAAAATGTTATATCCTAAACTGACAGATTACATATAGTTTGATCTTTTTTACCACAGCTGGTTAAAGCCTGAACTGGCAAAATGAGAAATACCGAAGAATTTACATTAAAAACCCAAAGTTTACACTGTAAATTGCAGATTACCTTGACAGTTTTGTTTAGAGGACTTTTTTTTTAATGCCAGGAGGCACATGTGCATGAGAGAGAGAGAGGGAGAGAAAACAAGGCCCGTTCATGCCACAGTCCTTTTCTACATCCTTTTCCACTTCTACATCCTTCTAGGATCTTGGGCACATGTGTGTGAGCCTACCATGTTTTTCAAGCCACTAGAAATAGGACTCAAACTCTGGACAGCCATATGGGACTCAGTGTCCTCTGTCTAGCACTTAATCACTGTATTATAGGGTTTCCCCTATGTATGGAACTTATTAACCAGCTACAGGTGCACAGCAGTAATGTAATGCTCCACAGTGCTGAAGACACATGGGAAGACCCCAGGTTTCATATCATGAGGCCTTCCTGGACAGTCTGCACACAAAAACATGTGCCAGTGACCCTGGGTGACTGAGTCTGGGTGGCTGAGTCTGGGTAGACTATACCATAAAGACTCTAACAGAGGGTCTTGCTCTCTTTTGGAAGAAATAAGTTAAAAAGAGGGCTATCTGTTCATTTCAATTAGTAAACATTAAGGAATCTAGGAGACAGAGGAATATTTGTCCCAAGACAGAGTACAAAAATTTAAACTCCCCCACACTCCCAGTAATATAAAGATATTTGTCATTTACATATTTATCCAGCATCTTTATAATCCAAGCAATTTATTTTTTTATTATTATCAAGGGACTTCCAGGCCTACCTGGGCTAAAAGGCATGCATGGATTCCAAGGAGCAGATGGCATTTCAGGAAACCCTGGAAAACTTGGGCTACCAGGAAAGCAGGGACTTCCTGTGAGTAATATAAATATCTCTTTGCTCTTAATTTCTTTTCCGTAAGAGTCTCCTTGCTAAACCATAGATATGTTGGCTATTTTTCTTAGCTTTGTCATTGGCTCAAATTAAGTCAATCATTTCTTTAATAGTTATTTTGGAATGATATTTAGATTTCCCAAGGAATGTCAATGGGTACATTCTCTTGGATATTTTATTTATAATAACCCATAATATTTATAGTTTATGCCATTTTTATACATCTGCAAACTTATAAAGAACAACTATAATGGTGCAAAACATCAGGGCTATATCCTGGCTGTGCTTTTGAGTTCATCAAGTGTTTTAAGCTACCTTTGGAACATTTGGACCTTGGCAGTAACTCAAGGTACGTGCTGCCAAAAATCATTTTCTCTACTTTTACAGCCTCAGTGTTTTATGGGAATTATATGGCTATTTTTTCTGTGTTGGCCTACTTGAAATGCAATGATACAGATTTACACTCACTTTATACAAATTTCTTATATTTATTTAAATGTTGTATTTTAGAAAAATCATAAAATCAGAAATTTTAAATTAGATTTTTTTCCTTCCCTTATACATTTCCCCCTCATTCCTTCCCTATTGTCATCCTAGTCCAGATATTTTTGTTAATCTAGAGTCTATTTTCACTCAACAGCGGAAGAATTAACTATATACTTTCAAGAACCCAGTAATATTTACCTTTTTACAGTTCTATATTTAGATATAGTTGTCTATTGATTTTATTTTCTTGACTTAAATAAAAAATCAACCCTGTTTATTCAAATCTAGCATGGTTCTATACCTAGATTCAAATCCAAATTAACATTCCTTCACTATGTATAGTGAGTTAAGTCATTTATTTAAAAAAACTATAACCTAATGAATTTAATTATTTCAGAACTAGATATCTAGTCAGAGTCTATCTGAAAAGAAGAATATTTTTAAAGAGTCTTAACATGTTTTTTATTTGTATTGGAGGAAATGGGTCAGAACATAAGAGCATCAGAGTAAGACCTAGAAAACTATGACAGCCAGGCTGATGTTTTTAATGAAAATAAGTATTTTATTAGCTGGTTAGAAGATTTCTATTGAAAGTCCTCATCGCAAAGGGAGATCAGGCACTGGGCCTTCATCTTTATGGTGCTGATCAGGATCACTAAATAATAGTCTTAAAATGAGACTATGAAATTTTAAAAATACAGCAGTAAATAAAACCCACTGAATTTGACTGACAGCCTATATTTTTTTGGATAAAGTACTACTGGGAAATGTTATAGTGAGTATTTTCTTTTGCTTTGAATGAGATTTTGGGAGTTTAAACAAAAGAAACAACATTTACAAATATATTTCTTATTGCTACACACAGTTTAATCATGAAGTGGTATGTATGTAGATGTTTATAAGGCTAAAAAGTGAATTGTAAATACTAATATTAGCAAATAAACTTATTTAATTACTTTATTAGATTATAATCAAGTTATTGATCACTTAATTAATAGAAATTGGATATTATTTGTGTTCTAGCTAAAATACTGCCAATGCAGGTATTCATTCCAGATATGAATGTATTTGAATAAGAATTTTAGATATGTATGTATATATGTATTTGAATAAGAATTTTAGATATTCAATATGTGAGATATTCATTGGAATATTAGTGACACATCAAAGTCATCAGTTAATTTTTGCATCAGGTCATTTAATGATTCCTTCAGACAAACAACTTTTTTCTGGCAATATGTGATACCTGAAGGCCCTCCTAAAGAAAGATTGAAAACGCCATGCAATGAAAACATTTATTTAGATTATAAAATTATGAACCATTTTCTCTTGTATAAAAACTACAATGTGGCAACTGAATTTTTTCTTTTGCTAGAAATAAAGCTGACATTTTCTTTCTTTTTTCTTTTTTTTTAAGGTTCAGGATTTCTTTTTTTCTTTTTTTTTTTTGAAGAGGTTTTTGCTGTAGGGCGCGTGCACTCGCTAGACAGACAGAGACAAAAAAATGAGAAATTGAGAAATAACCCCCCAGGGGGGATGGCCACGCCGCAGTCCCTTCTCCTCCAGTCTCCTCTGGTATCTTGGGCACGCACACACTCGTGCCCGGTGTGAATTTTAAGCCACCGGGTCCAGGACACGAACCGCGGTCGACTACATGGGAGTCCAGCAACATAGCCATTATGCTAACTGCTGGTCCCTCTTTTTTTATTTTTAATTTCATTTTCTTTTATACATTCAATCACATTATTATTTGGCTTACAAAATGGATATTTCAACAGATGAACATTTCTCCCTCCCTAGTACAGTTGATAAAACTACAAAATATCTTCAACAAATAAGACCAAATTTCTTTGTGCCATCAATGCTTTGCCTCCCTATTTTTCTTCTAAATGTCTTTCCTCAGACCCACCTCTTTCACACATACTATATCTGGTATTTGCATCTGTATACTGTGTTTCTATATCCTTTAGTCAATTATTTTCAGTCATGAAGTGCAGACACTCGGTATATATTAAGTGGGGACATACAGTGCCTCTCCTTCAAAGCCTGGCTTGCTTCATTCAACAGTAAATCCTCCATATTCATCCACTTCCTGTCAAAAGCCAGGGTTTGGGAATAGTATTCCATAGAGTATATGTGCCACAGTTTTTCTATCCATTCATCTGTTCGTGGGCATTAGGGTTGTTTCCATGACTTAGCAATTGTGAATAGTGCCACAATAAACATCGATGTCCAAGCACTTTTCTGATTAAGTATTCTTTTGTCCTTTGGGTAGATACCCAGGAGTGTGATTGCTGGATCATATGGTAGTTCTATTTGTAGATTTTTGAGGAATCTCCAAATTGTTCTCCACAGTGGCTGGACCAATTTACATTCCCACCAGCAGTGTAAAAGAGTTCCCCTTTCACCACACCCCCGCCAGCACTTACTGGTGTTTTGTTTTTTTGGGGTTTTTTTGTTTTTTTTTTTTTAATCTTAGTCATTCTGACTGGGGTTAGGTGGTTATCTCATTGTTGTTTGGATCTGCATTTCCCTTACAATGAGGGATGTTGAGCAATTTTTCATATGCCTAATTTTAGCTATTCAGATGTCATCTTTAGAGAGTGGTTTTTCCAACTCATTCTCCCATCTTTTAATAGGATTGATCATCTTTTTTCAGAACAGCTGCTTGAGTTCCTTGTGAATTCTGGTTATAAATCCCTTATCTGACACATAATTTACAAAAATATTTTCCCATTCTGAGGGCTGTGTATTCACACTAATTACTGTGTCTTTGCCATGTAGAAACTTCTTAGTCTGATGTAATCCCACTTGTCTATTTTGGGGATTATCGACTGTGCTTTGGGGGGTCTTACTTAAGAAGTCCTTCCCTACCCCAATGTCTCCCAGAGTTTCCCCAGTGTTTTCCAAGAGCGGT